GCCCGCCCCCGCCCGGGCCTGAAACACTGCCAGGGATGGGGCAGCCACAGCTGCTCTGGACAACCTGTGCCAGTGTCTTGCCACCTGAGACACTGGGACAGTAACTTCTTCCCAATAGCTGATCTAAATCTACTGTTTTCCAATTTAAAGCCATCCCCCATGACCTATTCCTACGTACCCTTGTCAAGAAGTCCCTTTCCAGCTTTCTCGCAGGCCCCTTCAGGCACTGGAGGCTGCTCTAAGGTCCCCCTGAGCCTTCTCCAGACTGAACCACCTCTCTCAGACTGTCTTCATAGGAGAGGTGCTCCAGCCCTCTGATCAAATCTTACTACAAATTCCACATGGGATAAGCTTTCCCAAGCTGTCAAATTGTATTTAGCTGAAAATCACTACAAAATTACAGTGACACAATGGAATCTGTCCAGCAGTGCCACTGATGATCGGGTGATGATCCTAACCTGCGATGATCCTAACCTGCACCTGAACACTGCCCAGCAGAGAAATTTCTAACTGGCCACAGACACTGCACAGGACGCAACTACAGCTCTGTCCAAGAAAGATCTAGGAGTATGTTGGAAGAAAGCAATCTCCAGAAACATCTGCATGCATCTCAGCTTTAAAACAATCTCCTACATAATTTAAGCAAGTTTGCCAGGGATCAACACCGTACGCACTGTATCCAAACCACCATAACCTGCCGCTGCAGCACCTGCACTTCTAACACTGAAATCCTTAACTACTGCCACAGTTCCATGGGGCACTACCTGGCTCCTCAGCTTCTCACCTTCTGATCAAAGCAACAGAAATACTGACATAGTGTGGCACCAAATTAGTATAAATAGACTTTATTGAAGTCAGTACCTTCGTACTGAGGCCGAAGATTGTGTCTACATAAGCACAAGTTGTAACATTTCACAACTTCTAAAAGGAATGTCAACAATTACAACGATCATGCATACCATGGTCGATAATCACATTTTTAGAAGCATTTTCAACCATTTCTAAAGAAATGCTTATAACATTGTTATATATAGAACTACTTTCAATAAACTGCAAAACATTGATTAGCTTTTCCAGTATGAGCTACAGTGTCAACACAAAAGGGAGGCATAAATGTTTAATTTATGAAATCAGAATGGAATATTTACTGTAAAGAAAAATTAAAAAGCTTTCAAATAAAGGCCATTATTGAACCAAAGTGAAGAGCACAACTTGAACTTTGAATCCTTTCATCTCTTAAAGCTGTCCTCTGAGTAACTTCAGTTCAAAGCATAAATTCAGTACTGTGAGTATTCCTTGGACTGAAGTTTGGCAATGATGCGATCCAACTGTCTCTTTGCTTCGCACTGTGGAAAATTGCTCATGTCATAATATTGTGGGGCAATTTTCACCAGCCTGTCAAGAAAGCAAAAGTTTGTTACTAATACTCAAACTTTAAGATGCATCCTACAGAAACTCTGCAGCTGAGGGAAACAACAATTATCCTTCATTTTCAGCCCATCTGTGATGCTAAGATCAATGAAAGTTCCACACACATTTACATCTCAGTCCTATCCTGTGACAGCACCCGAGTCCAAGGCAAGAAAGCCTCACGAGATGCTCCGGCTCTGCCATGTGTCCCTCACAGGCCCTTACTGCTCTCTCAGTATGTGTCACAGCAGTCCCTGCAGTCAGAGCTGCTGCTTCATGTAGAAGCCACCAGGAAACAGAGCCCACCTCAATACCGATTTGTGCAAGAGCACAGTTGAACTTTAACCGGTTTAAGCTTAAAAACACAACCAAGGCCACAGGATCCTGCCTTTAGGCTATGCATGACTTCCCAAGAAAAGGATTTCTAAGGAAGGATTCAAATCTTTTCCATTAAAATACTGCAGGCTATATATGTGCTATGCTCTATGACTTACAAATTTTTGAACTTTTTCTGCACAACAGCACAATTTCAACAACTGAAGAGCCTCACGTGCCCCCAGAGCTTGCAACCTGGCAGTTTAAGTACAACCTTAAAGACAGGCAGGATGATTCAGATCTCTGCTTGTCTGCAGAAGATCAGGCCTCTAACTTCCTCAATATACACTCTACTACAGAGGAGGCTGTACCTCGTTCCTTCTTAAGAAAGCACTGAATCCTGTTCAGATCCTTCTGGAAAAATTAAGAGACCTACTGCCCAGAGAGGACCTAGATCTTGAGAACAGAAGCATCTATTGGTATCTTTAAAGCATACAAGTGGGGCTAGGATATCTCCCCAAACCTAGCACCTCCAAGCAGCTCCTTCCCAGCAGTAGTACTACAGCCACTGGATTTAAGGCAAGCATTTCCCTGTGCACTGCACAGAGGCCAGTTTCACACACAACTCCCACAAACAGAAACAAGTATCCACAAAGAAAACCTTTAATCATGTGCAAGACTACAAGTCCACACCATTACTGTTCCCCTGACTGTTTTCTAATATTAGCTTTAGGAAAAGTGAAAGGAATTGCCTCAATTTAAAAAAGGAGAAAGAAAGCCAAGAGTTTTACAGTAGGTCATGACTGTTTTAAGACTTCTGGCTTACCATTCTGGCTTGATGTCTGTACATGTCCGGATGTAATTCTTTGTTGTAAGGACAAACTCATTGTAGAGCACCCATTCTGGTTTATGATCAAGAACAGTGGAGGGATGCAACTGCACCACCTGGTTGTCTTTCACTGTTAAGTAATGCCCTGTCCGTTCCAAATGTGCCACCTAGGGACAAAAACATTCTTCCATTACCACAGGCAATTTTTAAGTGAAGTGATTTCAAGCAGACACTCAAGTGTTCTACACAAAACACACTATCCCAACTTTCAAACCTCATCTATATTTGGCACATTACTTGACCACTTCAACCATTCAGGCTTTTTTATAGACACAATCAAGATGCCAGATGTTTCTGCTAACTGCCATGGTAAGTGTATACTCTAATACACAATTCAAATATACAAAAATAGTTACTACACAAAGACAAGAATCATTATTAGAACAACAGCAAAGCAAAGAGAAGTATAAGAAGGGAATATCTATTGGACAGGTTTGTAACATCCCACAAAGTCAGCCGTGGTCCACTACAGAAACCTGCTCCAAGCACTTCATCACAGCAGCTACTGTGGGACTGGGAAGCCACAACATTATCCTTTCAAGTTCTTATTAGTGCAATGTTTCAGCAGTAATTCTACTGATGCACATATTGTTCTGCAAATCCTCTTACACAGTGGCCTGAAAAGTGTCAGTCCAGTAAGAATGGGAAGTTTGGTATGTCAGGAATAAGAACAGCCTCGTTACAGCATGAGGTGCAGAGCTGGAAAATGTAGGTTCAGCAACACACTTCTGCTGTGACCTTGGTGAAAATCAATTAACCTCTCTCTGACTAAGCTTCTTGCTCTATGAAAGGGAATAATGCCTCCCTCACTGAGACGCTCTGATACCTAGCTCATTAAGACTTGTGGGGAAGCAGACAGTAATCCTTAGAAGGATATCCTCTGTAAGAACAGTTAATCTAACAGAACAGGTAAGTAAAATTAACCTTTTGATACTGGCAATTCAAGATGACCTCAGTGCTTATTTCATTACATATATATACACACACACAAAAATACCATAAAAAGATTAAGCAGGATGGACAATGGCTGAAAGATGTTGAAAGACATTTTTAATCAGGTCATCATTAGCTGCTTTCCTTTAATGTAGGCTGCATACTTGTTTTCCTCATTCCTTGCTATATCTCACCTTTCCTTAGTAGATTAAAATCCTAGGACTTCTAAAGCAATAGCTACCTCAAATTTTCAACTCAGAATTATCTCTTTAGTAACACATTGAGTATGCTTCCCTTTTATATTTTATGACATTAATATCCAGAACATGTTTTAGGAGTGGAACAAAGTATTTCAATGGTCTGCAAATCTTTTCACCCAAGATCTTAGCGATAATACCGTTACTTTACTTCAAGTCCAGGGAGCCAACAGAGGCTCTTTTCAATGGAGATTAACAGCACTCTGTTTGTAACCATTTAGGCTTAATTTCATCCAACTCAACCCAACATTTGTGAAATTAAGTAGCAGTACAGCTGCAAACCAGACTGGAGCAGACACTCATCTGCCACAGAATAATTCATTTATTTAGGTTTCATTCTAGAAAACAGCTCGCTGTTAAATTTAAACCAAAATGATTTACCATTAGCACCTCAGTCTCATTCAGATGCATTAGAACAGTGAAGTTTTATCAACTAGCTTTCCCAAATACATATGACTACTATCATCATAAATGACATGGAAAATCACCGTATTTCTTGTTTATTTTGTGTAATTCTGAACTAAGGAAAAAAGATTGAGAACTAACTAACTAAGCACAGTCAAAGAAAAAGAAACTGCAGAGAAGTACAGCTGGCTCTTAATTTCAGGGAAGGACAACGAATGGAATAACCCCAGTGAAGAAAAACAGGTTTCCTTAGAACATGGGTATCAGGGATAAGTCTCTTTTAAGTGGTTACACACTATTGTGACTTATTTAGATCCCGAGCTAACGCTGAGCTACAGTACTTATCCTATTTAGATTCTATAAGTCCTGCTGTGAGCACACGGATTGGTGAAGAATTTCAAGCCCAGCAATGACAACAGCATCACAAAACAGGCAGAGCGACGCCATGGCTGCACCGCAGGCCACGCGCTCCAGCAGTCAGCTACTGCATCCTCCTGCTCCCTCCGGCCCGAGCTGCTCCCGCGCAGCTGACCGAGCGCCAGCTCTGCTGCGTCTCCAAAGGGGGAAGTGGCTTGCCAGATCACGAAGCTAGAAGAATTCAGGGCTCAGGCAAGCAGCAAGGTTGATGTAAGGGAACAAACAAGGACCCACTGGAGGCGGCATAAACACCTACACTCCTCTGAACCTCAGTGCCTGTATATGTAGTGGTGGCTGGGCCAGATGTCCTCTAGAGGTAACTTCCAACCTCAACCAATCCTTTGGTGATGATTCTGTGATGTTTTTCAGAGCATAAAAAGCATGAGCTTCCACAGAAACCGCAGTACCATACAAACAGGCTCATTTTTCAGTGAGTGGTGACAGTAAACAAAATACACACCTGAACCCTGCAATCATCAAGGAATCCATCATGTATTAGTACAACACATTTGTGAGTTAGGCTACCTGAACAAAGAACGAGGCTGTAAATGGAGGGAAAAGCTATTAACGCTATTGACTACTATAAGGAGCTACACAAACATGACTCTCAAAGGATCATAAAGAGCCAAGCCAGCCCAGGTTGCTCTGCAGATCAAAAAAGGCCACCTGCTGATCACTTAGAGACAATTACAAGGCTTTTATCAACATGACAAACCCCCATGGAAACAGCAGCCACCAGAGGAAAAGGTTTTAGTTCAAGTTCTAACACAGGCTTCAGGGATGTGACAATTTCATTGAGAATGGCACACCCTCCTCTGAAATTTTAAGTGTGCTTGTGCTTACGTATTAGCCGTCACATCACTGAACCTAGAGAGCCCAAGCAGGGGCCTTTAATCAAACACTGTCAATCCAAATGCATTTAAAAGGGCAAAAGCAGGAAGAGTATTGCCAAATCCAACTTTTTTTAGATTTAAGGCTAGAGATCTTGGCAGGCTAGTCTTGACAGTTTAGAGAAATTATTGTTTCTTGTATTTTTGAAAGAAGAATGCTAGCATGCACCAAAGGAGCAATGTCAGCTGCTTGGATTTCTGCTTGCAGAGCATGCAGTAGTGTTTCTGGATCTACTAAAAAAATTAAACCATTCCTCTGCATTCTTGAAGAACAAATGAACACCATTAAATGCACTGGTAACCACCTTCGTGTCACAGGTTTATTACTCTTCTACTGTTGTAGGAGCCTGATTATGTAAAGACTTCAAAATATACATCATTCTATACACAGAATAGCACCAGAGATTGAATAGTAGCAAGAATGAGATTGAAAGAGGAGTCGTCCAATCATCTGACATCTGAATTCCTGTACAGCACCAGGTCACTGAAATTCATCCTCTCTAATGACCCTGATACATCCTGTGATCCCAAGCCATGTTTTCCAAAAAAAGTTCCAGGCTTGATTTGAAGACACCACAGGACTTTGATCTACTTTTAAATTCTGACTTAAGTTTCCAACTATTGATTCTTGTTCTGCCTTCAGTACTAGAGCAGAAATAAAATGACAGAAGCTTAACAAAACTGGTCATATCAATCTCAAAACAAAAACAAACAAACAAACAAACAAAAAAAACCACTAGGATGAAGATGACCCATCTTTAGGATACTTTGGCATTTGCTTGCCTTTTCCAATTCAACTGTAACAATTTCCTTCGCTTACTTCCTGTGGTATAACTTTTGCTTAGTCTTTACCACACACTTATTTCAGCTACATGTCTATTAACACTTTAAAAATTGTAACCTTTGTTTTCCTACCTCTGGTGAGTAAATAATCTACACCCAGTTCTTGAGTTTTGTTGCCAAATTAGAGACGTGTTACACTTGTATGATTTTCCAATCCTTTCTCTCCTTTAAGGCAGGATATATATAGCACTGAAGCACTGAGAAAATAGCATTTCTCTGGTGTATTTTATTTCAAATGAGCAGATTTTGCAAGTACCACTCCTGCTCTATTTTACATGTATTTTGCATATTCTGATGCATGATACAGAAATAGCTACTGAAAAAGGCAAATAAATATTTTTCGTAACTAGAAGAAACTAGAAGAAACCAGGGACATAAGAATTCTGTAAGACACTTGAGTTGTTGTCAGCATCTACCCTTCCAGAAGTTTTTCTGCACACAGAATTGTTGGCAATTTTAACTTATTTTACTGTTCCTTCTGCTTGTCTAAGGTTTTACTGGAATTCAAGTTTGTATTTAAATATGAAGGGTAAAGAGATGATGTGTCCCCAGCAGAAATTCCACATTTATCAGTCACTGACACACGACTGAAGGCAAATTTACAGTACTCAACACTAATTACATAATTAGCACTATTTCAGTAGTTAATACAGATCCTGACATCAACCACAGGTCCTGATTACTACAGGAATTTCTACAGTAAGATTTGGTGACTGTTTTTAGGACACAGAGGCCATTACCAAAGTATAAAACAACACAGGCAATGAGAACTACTTCAGAACAAGGTCTGCTACTGGTTTTAACACTCCACTTAAGAAGTTCAAAGAAACAACTTCTGCCATGTGTTGCCCATAGACTGTAGTACTTTACATGCAAAGACTATTTACAGCGCATGCACACACTTTGCAAGTGCTCAGAGTTGGCACTCCACACACACACTGTACTAAGAGGATAAAGAACAATGTATGCATTTCATTACAGCGTTTTCTGAACACGGGCCCCCAAATACCTGCTTAAAGAGAGCACAGTGTGCATACAGACTGCATTTTTAGCTACTTCAACTGCCGGTAAACAACATCTCTTTTGAGTGTTTGTATTTTAAGTTTTCTACTGAAGGTTACTCAAAACAACATGGAATTCATGAGAGGGTTCAGCCAAGGTCAAACACGTAGCATGCCATCATGAAGGTTAAAGAGTCAAAGAAGAAACAAAATAAAATGGACTCAAACACATCAAAGGAAATGGCTTCCACTCCAAATGCCTTCACCAGACCTGCCAGAGCTATCCCTTGATTCAGCCCAAAAATTCAATTAGACAATTTAGGTGAGAGGGTCAGTAAACAACCTGTTGACCATGGAAGCCCAAGGAGACTTCTGGAAGGGCTTTCATTTTCATCTATGTGAGCCTCTATTTTTGTTGTGAATAGAGTAGCAAAGTCAAATCTTTACATCCTGAGCAGTAGAGACTAAAAAAATCTATTTGCCCCAACAGTGTCTTTGAAAAGATTTACAGAATTAAAGGTGTAGGGGGGGACTGTGTACCAAGGCATCCCCAAGAAAGATGAAGAAAACAGGTGCTGAAAGCAAGGACTGAACACAGTGACTCCCATTAAATGTTCTGTGCTTCTGGATCTGCAAAAGCCAGCAAAGGGACTCTTCTAGCCCCAGGGATAAACAGTGAACAGAAAAAACATAGCATTAAGGGACTATGACACCAAAACACTCCACCAAAAAACAAAGCAAACAAAAAAGCTGACACCAAACCAAAACACTAAAAACTCCACCACCCAAAGGAAAACCTCAGCCTGCATCCTAGCTTGGAGACTTGCTTAACATGAAACACAAAGCAACCAGGCAGCAGCAGTGAGGACTGGCTTCCATACATCCTGGTTCAAGAGGCAAGTGAGTTACCAACAGCATACATTTTGAGAGGACAGACCTGCTCCAATACTTAAGACTTATATATTTTTGAAGTGAAATATAATTATGTAAAAGTATGCCAAAGAAAATACTCTCCTCCTACAAGGACTACATATAATATTTATATACAACTATATTTCCCCTACTTGTATCGGATTACAAATAATTTAAAAACTACATTTCTGCAGTTACTTTGAAATGCTGTATGAATTTCCTTCCCCAGTTATTCAGAAGTTAGTAGCCAGTTCCTGATTAGCCATGCCAGAAACAGTTCTTTGGTATGAGGAAGACTGCCTAAAACTCCTCTTCCAAGTAAGATTTGCCTAAAGAACGTACAACTTGAGAAAAACCCAAGTAATCCAACAAAGACTAAGAGGTAACAGAGTGAGCCATATATAATTTAAGTAACATTCATAAAGTTTTGATAAATTCTAATAACCATCCTAACATTAAAAGCCACCTAACACTGAACTATGTTCCCTACAAGGATGCATACATACCTGCATGAAATACCCAGTAACTAATGCCTTTCTTATGTTGATGTAATAGTCTCGGCTGGTAAAGTCTGTGCTTCTACGAGGCAAATTAAATCTATCCATGATTCGTGACAGCTGTTGGCGTACATTGTCTGCAGACATCAGGGACCTGTAGTTAATGAAGTTGTCGTAACACCACTGAACCGACTCATGATCTGCAACATTAAAACACATGAATCAAAAATTAGTATTTCATCCAATTAGAACAAGTAAATAAAACAGCAACTGATCTATCAGTCACATGAACCAGAAAAAAATATCCATAAGCTTTCATATGTGTCAAGAGCTCTTAGTTTATTCAATCATTTTCTTGCATTAGATAACTTGCCCAAATTGTTTTCTAGTCAGGAAGCACGTGGTCAGGACAAAGTAGCTTTCCCCCCCCCTCATAAATATAATATACACACAATCACTGATGTCTGGGTGAAATATCCCCTCAGTAAATTTCACACATCAAAAAAAAAAAAAAAAAAAAAAAAAAAAATCACACCCTGCAACTAGAAAACTCATCTCCCTGATTTGCACTGTAAAATGTAACTGAACTTCAGGAACACTGTGCCATCTTTAACTGCAGCATGCAATGAACACAAGAACACTGTACACAATTACACTGCATTTGAAGATACAAACCCTCCTTAAACACAAGTGCATGTTTAACACCAAGAAACCCAGCTCTCCCTACCAGTTCTGTTGCTTTTGAAGTGATGCTCTTCTGTATCTTTGTCAGTTTAATAATCCAACAAAACCAGTGTTAACAAAACTTAAAGTATCTCTTGTACAGACTATTCTTAATTTGCATTGAAACAGTTCCACAATGAGGAATATGTTCAAGTTCTTTCTGTGCTTTATATTACAGAATCTATTTAAAATTAAGTCTGAATACTGAAGCTCTTGTACACTGCCCAGCAGAATCATAACTGAAGTACTGCAGCGTTTTTGCCATTTGAACTGTGCATGTTAGATGATATATAACTGGTTTATATTGTTCTAGATATAAACAGTAGCAGCATTTTGTCTTCTGATCCTGCATCCCAGAAATCCTACTCAATTTCACAGTGAAACTGAACAAAAGATTATTCCCCAAATAATTCCATCCCTCAGTAACCTGAGTGTGAAAGCAGTGGCTTCCAGAAGTATCTCTCCCCCTAAAAAACATCTACAAGACATACTGGATCCTGTTCACTAGAAAGCTAATAAAAACAAGCAGCGGGTGCCTCCAACTCACAGATGTTTAGTGTAAGTTTCTCAGCTGTTGTTTCAAACAATTGTGAGTACTTTCATTTGACTTTTGCTCTGAAGATACCTTTATTTTGGATTGCCACATCAAGTGCTAGATTATTTCAATTCAGAATCTCTATATCAAAGCTGCAGCAGAAAGGGGCACCCAGTTGGGTTTCTTTTTTACTCAGGGTAAAGACAACTGTTGCTTTTTTGTCTGCTTACAGATAAATACAACTGGAGCACCCAAGTTAACCTGGTTGGCCGTTAAGAGTTACCTTTTTCCTTACCACCAGGACAAGTCACTATTAAAAAAAGCATGCCACTTATGTAGCTATTTTTCCTAGCTTCCCTTGTTCATTCCCATCTTTTTCAAGCTGCAAAAATACACTGCTGAGGAACCGTACATTTTCCCTAAAAACCTTACACAAAGATGAGGTAAATGAAATAAATTTATCATAGGGCTTGAAGTTACTACTTGTTTATGCAGCACCCATTTGCTTCTCAATCCATCCCAAGGCCTTTTTATAGAATTCTTAACTATACTAAAAAGGCTTTGGTTCTGTGAACATATTCTTCAAAATCACTGTATTTTCTGCACTGCTCTTCCTGAAAATTAAGCAATTAAGCAGATTTTGGTATAATTAATGTCAGATAACAAACTTCCAATATTTCTTAATTATAGGCACGTTTACTTCCTTCTGTCCAAGGTTACCCAGCATTGATTTAGAAGCCTGGCTTGCCTCCATACTCATCAGTTTATTACACAATTATCTTAGCTAGTTTTTTGGGTTTGCTTCCACCCCAAAATCAAGTGGCACTTAAGTAACTTTTACATACTCAAAACAAAAAAGAGTATTTAAGATCACAACAGAATGGTTCGGAAAACAAGCCCAAGCCTCTCATCTGCCCTTGGAACCGAGGAACAAAAGCTGGCAGCACAAACTATTTCAAACCATTTTGCTAAAGCAGGTGCACACTTACTTTGTTTGAAAGCATGGTAGACATTCAGCAACGTCAAATGATCTCCATCTATGTGGGCAAACCTCATCTTGGCTTCATCTGCTGCTTTCTTTGCTTCCGTGGGGCGAACAAAACACTGTGGGACTAAACAAGGTTGGTATGGGCCCAACACAAACGCCCATATCGATGAGTCACGCATTCACAGATAGAGGAACAAGGCCTAGCTAGGTCAGTTCACAGAGCATAGGGCAGGGCAGGATGGCCTCCAACTGCATCTTGGACTGTTTACTACCATGATTTGGTACATCAACACCTAACCACATCTGTAAGACAAGAGGGTTTCAAAGCTACAGAGTACCTGATTATTTAAATAGAACTATATGTAGGCATCAAAATCTCTAGTCTGAAGGCCATCAAGGTTGTCTATGTATACTGGAAGGCTAAACAGATCTTGGCTCAAGACCCAGTGCTGATAGCTCTACCAGGAGTTAGCAGCCCATGTAACAAAACGCTTTAATTGCAACTTTGCTTTCTCAGAAAGCCTCTAGAGACAGAGTGAAGAAGACAGTTCTGAAACTGTACTGCACTAGTACAGTCTAAACAAACATAAGATTTATCACAAGTCTGCTCCCAGACAGAACACACCAGTAAAGTCAAGCCCTCCTCCCCAGATGGTATTGTTATCAGCACTGGTATACAGAAACATGTGAATGAATGTATTAAGTCTAAAGGTTGTGATGGTAGCGGCAGTGGTGGAAGGTTAAACTGTCCTTTGGCACTACTTGAAATAAAAACAAAACAAAACACCTCTGTAATGTGATGAGCTTTCTCCATCATTATATGCTTACGTAAGTCTGACTCAGTCTGACTTGGATCCGAAAAACTGTGTTTTAACTTTCCCTTTCCAAATACAGACTACCAGAGGCCACAAATAGTATTGCAGCCAGCTTAATTCATGGTTTCCCATTCTTACAGGTTTGTAATATCGATACTAATATTCCCCAAATGCAATTATGAGACCCTCACTTTAGATACCTACAGAAGAAAACAGTATCAGTTTGGTTTTAAAGTAGAGGTAATTTTTAAGAGGTTAAATTTCAATTAAATTAAGATGCTAAAAATCCCTTACCCTTTTCCAGCTGCTTGGGACTACCCCAGCCTCCTCAGAACTAAAGCCCACCAATCTCATAAGACTGCCTCTTAGTGCCTCATCTGGCACTAACTGATGAGGGCCTTTTTGTGGGGGGTTAGTTTTACTTTATTCTTCAATTCCCATAAAAACCCCAAACACTACATTTCAGATATATGCCAAGTTGAATACTGGATGGAACTTGAAAATACACACTGCAACAGTGAATCACATGGTAACAAATCAAGACTAACACGCTAAAGAAAATGGAAATGCAGGTGCAAAATAAACAACTTATACTTTGGGTCCTGCATTTGAAAGGAGAGAAAATAGAAAGCATGTTTTAATTTCAAACTTAGACTAATAAAAGCAAATTCTAAATTATTCTGGCTTAACTCACTGCTTTGAGTAACTAATAGCACTTTCTACACCACAGCAAGACACCACAACTCTTATAAAATGAAGTACGATCATTTAATCTGCCCATTTATTCAACCTATCCTCTACTCTCTTCTGGTACCTAGTTTTTCCATTCAGTCCAAACTATTAATACACTGATTGCTGGTAGAGCCTGACAATCTTTATGGGGACTTAAGACACCATAAAATACAGTTATGCACTGTTTAAAAAAGAAAAAAAAAAAAAAAGAAAGAAAAAGTGGGTTTTGTTTGGTTGGCTTTTTTTAGAGCAGAGTTTGATGACAACCCATACATTAACCACCTTCAATCCTTTCCCCTTACCCCCCCAAAAAAGGCCTTATTTACCATAGAATGGTTTGGGCTGGAAGGAACCTTAAAGATCATCTAGTTCCAACCCCTTCCACCAGAGCAGGTTGCTCGAAGCCCCTGTGTCCAACCTGGCCTTGAACACTGCCACGGATGGGGCAGCCACAGCTTCTCTGGGCAACCTGTGCCAGTGTCCCACCACCCTCACAGTAAAGAACATCTTCCTTCTAGCTAATCTATGACATTAATTGTGCCTTAAAACAACAACAACAAAAAAGTATCATGGCCTGGGAAAAGGTAAATAGAAAAAGGACTAAGACAAATCGGTTTAAGATCACAGACAAAAATACCAGACTCACTGTTCCGTAGTAGAGATCAGGGGAAGAGGGAAAGGGAAGACAAAGACAGGCACCAACCTACCACCACCTCCGCAATTAAGCCTACCATTTAATTAAAATTATGATGATTCTGCCCTGCCCATCTGCTCTGAGTCTGAACAATCATAACTCTGCAACAAACATTTTAGCTTGTGCTTAAAAACTTTCATATAAACATAGCGTAAGGCTAAACTGAAGCAACAGATTTTACACTTAGCTAAAACATATTTTGTATAATCTATTCAACCACGTTAAACATGTAAGCAGCACACCTGCACTGTGCAGAGCCTGCTAAAACTGCACATCCAAAAGACAAAAGAGTAATTGTAAGAAATCCCCATTTTCATAACAGCCTAAATATTGATGCTTGTCCTATGACAGCTAACTATAAAATGAAGTCAGTTTTACATAACTGGGAAATGAAATACATGGCTTGCTTGATAACATTTTTCTCTCATCAGCTCTCTATTAAGCAGCAGCTCTGCTCTGATGCAGTGCTATTCACTGAATGCAGCAGCAAAGTACAGCTGTGCACATAAATTAATTCTTATAAATATACATCCTCCCCCAAAGTTTTTCTTCCCTATAAAAGTAATGACTGTTCTTCATCTTTACCACTTAATGACTGAAAAATGTATCATCATTTCATGTACAACCTTATGATTCAATGTAAATTACACTGTAATAGTTTTGGAAATACTGTGATTCATCAAAGTGCAGAAGAATGCACAATACAAAAATAGATTTCACCACCTTAAAGACAGTGGTTGAGCTGACACTCCTTGTCCTGATTACCTGACTATGAGCCTAAAGAGAAATCTCTGTTCCACTAGTCTGATTTCCACCCCCCCACCAACTTACATATAGGTATATATATATACACTTTTAACTAAGTTCAGAGCAAACCGTTTGACCATTTTACACTTGTTCATTTCTTAACACTACTATTAATTCGCTTCAAGGTTTCTACGTAAACCCATAACGACTGATTAAACACCTATGTTTTTAAAAGACATTTCTAATTTTACTAGAAATATATGTATATTGTTTATGGTTTTGATGTGGAAAACTCAATTTTTCCCCAAACTGAAGATCTGTATTTTGTTTAGTATCTCTTTCAACCTGACAACATGGCTGTAATAGATAGGACCTCATTAGAACAGTTGTAGTCACAACTTGCAATAACCATTTTAGCCAGTTGTGGGTCCAGTGGAAATTCAGCCATCATGGATCCCAACTCAGTCAAGTCTCCATCATCATTTAAAGCAGCCAGATAATTCAAAAGCTCTAAGGCTCTCATCAGAGTTTCAGGAGCTGAAAGAAAAAATATTCAGGTAGGCACATTAATCAAACTGCTCTGAATACCTGAATAAGTAAAAAGTGAGGAAGTACAGGCTATTATAAGCCATCTTATTTTTCATTCTCCATTCAACTGACTTTCAAACACAAAATTGTTACCAAATTCAGTTATGTACATCCAGACATGGGTGGGTGGGTGCCTGTCACTTTTTAGAAGAGCTCTTAACTGGATCAAAAGGTTTGAGTATCTGAAGATTACTGCTTTTCAAAAATTCAGACAGCAGTGGAACTGTAAAACATTTGTTACCACAGTAGTATCACCCCCCCGCCACATACTGATGCACTTCCCCTTGTTCCATACAAAATAGATGGATACAGTCCTACAATCTCATCCATGTCCACTTTAGATATCTATAGTCCTTCACAAATCTCAGCCTGCATTCCTCATAGCGAGTGTATGTTACATCCCACAAAGAAAAACAGAAGGAAATCCAAAATGCTTTCCTGCTAAGATACCATACATACCGCACAGCACAAATGATATAACTGTTCTGTACAGCTATTTAAAAGCTTACAGATTATAAATTACATTTTTATTTTAGGGGGAAAAGCACCTAACTTTGACGTACTTAAATATGGCTGATCTACATTTTTAATTAGCAAAATAACCCAGTTAAAGTATGTATGAACATTTAATGCTATTAGAAGGGAGACACACATTAACTTCGTTTGAGCCAAAACCATGTATCCAGCTTTAAAAATGTGCTAGCCAGTTTTATTTACCTACAGTTGTTAACTGATGCACAATTAAATTGTGTAATCAAGGTTATAAGTAAAAACAACCTCATCAAGTAATAGATTTTCTAATGCCCATAATTTTGTCTTATCCTCTGCAGGTAAGGGACATCCAGTAGATTACTCAGTTCCATTTAAAAGTTGTTATGCAGAAATGTTACAGAAATGTAAGTTTGCTTTGATAATACATAGAGCATTAAATTTCAGGATAAACAAAAGACATTCCTTGTGGATAAAGAAAGAGTGAACAGCCCACCACCACCACCAGAATACATTATATGATGTTGTTATTATATAAAATATTTCCCAAAATAAAGATTTCACAAGTTAAAACGTAACAGTTACAGTAGGCAAGATAAAATAGAAACAGATACCTGGAGGATCCATAAAATCAAAGTGCACCAAATCATCTATACCAAGCTTCTTGAGTTGCAGTACTACAGATCCTAAGTTAGACCTCAAGATTTCAGGGTACGTGTTGTCCTGGGGTAGGGAGAGGAAAAAAAGAAAATTCAGAACACTTGTGATTTTAAACTACACAAGCATTCACATTCTGGTTTTGTTCAGTAGCAAGACACTCGACTACCTGTACTGATCAGGTGTTCTTCTACATGCAATCTGAAACAAGTCATCTTACCTGCATTTCAGTTTTGTAAGCCTTCTCTGTATACAGCCTGAAGCACTTGCCTGGCCTAGTACGGCCAGCACGGCCAGCTCTCTGCTGAGCAGAAGCTTTACTTATTGCAGTCACCAAGAGAGACTCCACTCTTATCCGAGGATTGTATACCTGTTTGAAAGTGGAATCAGAACAGGGAAGAAGGATGAAGAATGAACACTGCTAATGGATGAGACAACTATCTAAAAAGAAAAAAAAAAAAAAAAACCAAAAACCCACAAAACCAACAAACAAACAAACAAAAACCCCACAAACCCAAAGTGCTTTAAACTTATTTTCAAGCAGCTTCTGACTAGGAAATCACACGTTGTATGTATCTGAAAGGAGAAGAAAAAATTGGCTACAAGAGCCTCTGGATCAGTGACAAAGAGCTTCAAATACAACTGCCTTGAGAACAGCATTTACTTTTTGTTCATTTCTTAACAACTCCTGCCAGGCTCTCTATCCTCCTTACATGTGTGTATTTTTAGATAAGATTTTTGTGGCAGAAGGAATGTGGCCAATTTGTTCTGTAGAATGCTAAACACACTCTAGATGCTCAAATAATTCCATGGGGAAAAATAAAAACTGTCTAAATAAAAATTATAACGTTGAATAACCATGTTCTAGAGGTCAGAAAAGTCTAACATTAAGGCTGAATGCAATTGTAAAAACCAGACTGATGACACAGCAAGGCTGTATTTCAAGGGTACATGAAGACTGTCACAGTTCAAAAAATATGCTGGAATTTACTGTAAAATTTCCATTGCAGTCATACATAAACAGCAGCCTTGCTAGCTCAATAGGGCTCATGGAAAAGAATACACTCTACAAAAATAAGAGCAGTAGTCAGCTAGCAGTTTCAGTTGAAGATGTTCTTTGGGTCATGTTTTAACACCCTCCTGGTGTGAATAGGTATAAAACTTGTACAATAAGTTCATTTCTTATTACAGAAGGTACTCTGTATAACTGTGTGCAGTTCTGGTGTCCTCAACAGCAGCACATGGAGCTGTTGGAGCAAGTCCAGAG